CCTCTAATATCTAAAATCATCCTGTTGAATACCTCACTAATGTTATTAACTACTAGGTCAGTTTTACAATTCTTGTCCATAGCATGCCTAGCCCATGTTTCAACAGGAATTCCCTTTAACCAAGCCCAAACATCCTCACTTTCTTACCTCATTTCTTCCATTGCAACATTAAAAACCATCCTCAGTGTATGAATATGCAGCTACATCCATATATTTCTTAAGTTCATCTCCTCTAAACCCAACATTTTGGAAATTTGCATAAATGTGCCTTAGACAATATCTTTGTGGGCAGTTGGCAAAAATGTGTGTTATGGCATTAAGAAGGCCCTGGTGAAACAATTAATACCTAAGTTAAGATGCTAACTAGGTGGTCAAACTAAGGTTGCAAAGAATAGCAATCTAAGGTTAAGTAAATTTGCAAATGGAGCAACTCACCTTCTGCCTGTCTGAGATTATTGTGTAGTACCCAAACTGTCCACATTCTCCACCAATAGCAATCTTTAGTTGAGTTAAAAACCATGACCAACTTGCGGTGTCTTCCTTTTCAACCACTCCAAAGGCCAATGGAAAGATGTTATTGTTTCCATCTCTGCCTGTAGCAGCCAATATTTGTTGTCCTATATTCAGCTTCACAAAACATCCATCCAGACCTGAAATCAACATGATTTAATAGAATACAACAGAACAAATTAAAAATGCAATGAAAGAGAATAAATGAAGTGGAATAATTCTGACAAGAACATACCAATGAAAGGTCTACACCCTTTCAAAAATCCTTCTATTTGTGCTCCAAGACACATGAAAAGTCTATGAAATCTTGGATTGAGACTAGGGTGCTCTCTCACAACTCTTGTGGTGACAATGCATCTGCTCCCAGGGTTGGTGTCCAACACAGTTTGTAGATAGTCTCCGATCCTTGTGTATTGTGCTTCTTGATCACCTTGGACAACTGAAAGAGCTTTCTCCCTTGCCCTATAGGCCTTGTTCTTTCCAACCTCCACACCAATTTTCTCCTTTGTCTTCTCTATGACAGTTTCAACTCCTGCTCTAGGATCTGTCCTCATGCTATCCTTAATTGCTTTTGCTACAAACCTTGTTGGAACCTTGTAGTTCTCACCAGATGGAGCATAGGTGTGCTCTAGTTGCAATTTCCTAATACAGAAAGTTTTTTCATTACCAATTACAGAAGCAACCATGTGAAAGGGGCATCCTTTCTCAACACAGTCAACTATAATCATGTTTTTGTTGTTTCTGTGGTAATGAAAATTCCTCCTTTGAGTCACATGCAAGTTAACCAAAGCTCTTCTGAACTGGTACACATCCAGAAAACACAAATGCCAGCAAATTTGCTCCTGTGGGGTTAACCTGCTCTCATCATACCATTGCCTGGCCTTCCTCTTCTTTGCCCTGGATTTTCTACCACTTGAGGGAAAATAAACCTCCACTTCTACATCAGAATCATCTGGATGTGGCTGATCTATATCTTCATCACTTGAGGGGATATAGTCAGCCTCAAGTGCAGATTGAGAGCTGCAATGAGATCTACTTGTTGGGCCCCTCCTCACTGGCAATTTAAGCAAAGGTTTTGGTGGAACAAATTCCTCTTCCTCCTCAGACTCACAGAACAAGTCCTCTGGCTCTGAATCCCCTTCAAATTCTCTTTTCCTCTTCAAATCTTTTATTTTCTGGTGGAGATCAGCATCATCATCCACTTCCTCTCCAGCTACATCCTTCCCCATGCCATAATCAGATTCTGAACTCTCATCATCATCTTCAGAGCTGTCAACATTTGTAACTTCTTTCTCCACAAACATTTCCTCCTCCTCCATTTGAACTTCTTGCACTACTGGCATGTCAGCAGCAAACTCATTGAGAAATGCATCTAGCTCATTGACACCTACAATGTCCTTCCCCTTTCTCACATTGCAGCTCTCCTGAGTGAAAAGGTAATCTCCAATAGAATCTTGTGTATAAACACTTATAATAGGAACATAGCACTATGCTCTTTCACTGCACTGACTTGGATAGAGCACATCTGCATCATCTATATCATATACTTTAGGTGAACCAATCTCTGAAATAGGTATCTGCTTCTCAACTTCATCTCCATTGTTGATGTGCAACTGTGGCCTAAGTGATGTTCTTCCTTTCATAACTGTGATAGTGATACACCTTTTCTCCTCATATAATTCCAGCATTTCTTCTACATCTTCAGTACATTTAATCAGCTGCATTCCTTCAATTCCTAAACCATCTTCCTTCACATAGTACATGGAGTCCTTCTCATCATACCCCTCTGTCCCAATAAGAGCTAAAAGATTGATGTAGGTAATAACTGACTGACATAAGGTCCTTTCCAAATTGTCACAGCCATGGAAATGAAACCGAACATCCCATATGTCATCATCCAGACTGCAAACACAAAACAGAGCACATCATATTACGTTAACAATATATTCAGCTCATTGTAATTCAGTTAATAATACACTACATCAACACCAAATAAGTTAACTGACAATTCAATCTACTCTAAATTCAGTATATACCATATTCACATAAATGCAGTTAACAGTACACTGAAGCAATACCAAATCAGTTAACTTATATTTCTCTCCAATTTAAGTTTTCAATATTGCAGAATCAATAAATTGATTAAATTCAGTTCAGTTAACTGAAATCTAGTGAACCAAATTACAGTAATTATCCTCAACAAAAAAATTGCACAGCTTGTTCACATCTGAAACAAATATTTCTAAACCCTAGTTCCTAAACTGTAGAAATAGCGACACAGATTTATAAACCATAGTTCTTAAACAGCAGTGACAACACAAATTTATAAACCATAGTTCCTAAACAGCAGTGGAAACCCTAATTTCTAACACATAATGCAAATAAATGTACAGACAGCGACACATAACTCACTCTACGCCGCCGAGACCAGAAGTGAAGTTGTGGCTGTTATGCGGATTCACCTTTCAGACCTGCGCCAACCTTGCTGCCGCTGACATCTCGATGGCATAGCTCCCGGGTTCCTGGGGGCCCTTATCTCCACCGTCGCACGCGGCCGCACCAGGGACGAGCGTGCGCGCACACTGAACGTGGGAGAAAGATTTGTCCCCACCGTCGAGGGAAGAGGAGTTCCCGCGGTCGTCCCTGCCATCTCCGGCAGAGCCGCCGCCGCCGCCGTCGGTGGCCATGGGTGAACACGACGGGGGTGAGCGGGAAGGAGGCGGCGCGGTGGGATTTGGGGGGGAGTGGGGGGAATGGTCGACCGGGTTCGACCCGGTAGGGTTTTCTCTTGCGCCGTCTAACGGTGCTTGACGGGCGCCGTGTGCGCACAGGCCACGTGGCACCTGACAGCAGGCCCTGGACGTCAGGTTTGCCCTCAAATGGGACTAATCGAGTAATTAACGTTTTTTGCAAACTGTTAGCACAAAAGTGGCGGTTTTTTGCAAAAAAACGAAAGATGGTGGTTTTTTTATTTTCACGTCCCCAAATATGGTGGTTTTTTGCAATTTACTCGACCATAATAGGAAACAAGCAATCTCAGCCGCGTAGTTATGGGAGCCGGGATCGCACGTACAAGTTCAGTATTCCAGCCAAGCCGTATGCGTGCCTGCAGCGATTGGAACGGAGCTGCGTCTCGCATGGGGGCAAACGTGAGGAGGTCGTGCGATGTCCAGCTGTACACGTGGCAGCAGATGACGTCTGGGTTGCAAAGGATGAGGTTTGCAACAGGTACGCACGGAATTCCCAGAAAGGTTGCCGTCTTTTCCATAGGTGAGTGAACAATATTTGGCTCAGCTTGCACGATGCTGGTCACTCGCAACTACCCGGATCCGAGTCGGTTTCCCTCATGAACACCAGAAATTAAAGAAAATCGCCGCTGAACTTCCCGCTCAATCAATGCCTCTATTTAGTCGCAAGCCCACCCCGCCGATCGAGTACGATAGTACTATATGGCTAGGACGGATGCCTTCCAACGCCGCCGGCTGTGCACGGACGAGGACCGCCTCGGCGCCCTCCCCGACGATCTCCTTCTTGACATCCTGCGCCGCCTCGACACCCGCACCGCGCTCGGCACCGCGGCGCTCTCCAGGCGTTGGGCCAGCCTGCCCCGCGAGGTCCCCGTCCTGGACCTCAAGGTCAGCGACATACTGCCGCCGCGCTACCACCGGTGCTTCCGCCTCCGCGAAGACGCCAGGGATTCGAAAATCAGCTCCACCTTGTCTGACAGGAGGCTTCTAGAGGCTATCACCGCCCGGTACGAGTGCCGCGCCATGCGATCCATGGTCTGCTCCGTCAAGAGCCTCCTGGCCAGCCCCGCTCGCCGGCGCGTGGAGAGGCTGTCGCTTGAGGTCTTCGCCTACAGCACCTCGGCCTGCATCAACTGCCTGGTCGTGGATGCCGTCGATTCCTAGGGCGTCCGGGATCTAGAGGTTGTTGCCACCCCTACGGGGCCGCTCACGCGTTAGGAGCCGCCGGCCTACAGCTTCCCTCTTGGCCTCATCAGCAGGAAGCCCGGCGAGTCCCGACTGCGAAGCCTCAAGCTTTCCAACTGCTTGCCCCCGTCGCTCCGGGGATTCAACGCGCTCACCACGCTCGTCTTGCGAGACTTGCCGGTCCCCACACCGGCGGCCGCCTACGAGGAAGCGGTCGCCGCGTGCCCGCAGTTGCAAGTGCTACACATCCTTTCATGCGAGATCAAGATAAGTGCCCGCAGGGTGGTTCTTGACGCGCCCAAATCGGAAATCAGGGAGCTTGTACTCGGCGGCGAGCTCGTGTCAGTGGAGATCCGGTCTCTCCCGAAGCTCAAGAGTCTCGCCAGCCAGGAAGCTACCGTGCTGCTTTGCTCCGCCGCCGCCGCCCCGTGCCTTGCGCACGTGAGCCTCGCCTTCTCGGTTGGCCGACTGGAAGGGGGCGGTTTACCTGGACTAAACCGCTCCTATCGCGACTTCTTGATTCAGCGGCTCGTGCAGTTCTTCCAGGGCGCCATCACCATGAAGGATCTCGTCTTGCGGTTTACTGGGCCAGAGATGTGGATCATGCCGAAGAATCCCTTCTCTGCAATGTCGAACCTGAGAAGGCTGCTGGTCGCCGACGTGCCTTCCTCATGGGACGCCTGATGAAGCCATGTACCTAGGGTAGGGGTACGGACCTGTCCAAGGAGCCCTACCCTAGGACATCCCTAGGAGAAGTCACCTTTCAATCGACTTGAAGGTATCCCACTCGACGGATTCAAGACACTCGACCAGAAAGCTATCACTCGACCATGAAGCCAACCACTCGACCGCCAGGAGACCTATAGTCACTCCGCAGGCAAACGGTCAGCTGTTAAGTAGTCTTTATGGTCATTATAGCACTTTATTAGGGGCGTTACCAGTAACGCCCGACCTTAAATGTACCTGAAAACCCTGCATTACTGAGGGCAGGAGGGGGCCGGCGAACTCTATATAAGCCACCCCCTCCTCAGGATGAAGGGTTCGCACCCCTGTTATTCACACGCCAGTAATCCAGTCGACCGCCTCCGGGCACCGAGACATAGGGCTGTTACTTCCTCCGCGAAGGGCCTGAACTCGTACATCTTGGTGTGTTTATAACTTCCCAATAGCTGAGATCTAGCCTCTCCATACATACCCCCCTACACAACTGTCAGAGTTAGAACCACGACAGTTGGCGCCCATCGTGGGGCAGGAATCTTAGCACCTGATTGGAGAAGTTGCGATTTTTTCGATCCCTTTGATCATGGTTTCGTGCGGAGTTTTGGTGGAGGGCCGCGAGATCCGCCTCGGCGCACTCACGTTCATCGCCGACGACTCCGCCTGGCTTCAGGAGGCGCCACTCGACATCGACGCGCTCCTCGTCTGTGGTGCGACGCATTTCCGCGCATGCGTTCGTGGCGTCCTCCTGCGGCAGCCGTCGACCCAGTATCGGTCGGCCCCCATATCGTCTCCCCGCTCTGTCTCCCACCGGCGCAAGCGCTCCGGTCGGTCGAGGCTTTAGAGGTGGGTGAGGCATGCCGTGGCTCGCCAGTCGGCCGCCCCGCAAGTCGCGGCAATCGAGCCCGACGAATCCCTCTGCGGCCTGTTCGACTGGCTCCGTGGAGACCGCATCCGAGTGCGACAGCAGCGACCCAGCGGCTGAGATCCTGGCGGTCGATGGAACGCACAGTCCTCCCGGTTTCCCTCGCGCTGATGGAGGCGCGGGTGGGGGCAACCCGTCGCATCCCCACGATGAGTATCTCCCCGAACCGCTCACGTCATCACAGCGAGAGGAGCTTCGCCGCCGGAACACGGACGCACTCCGCACTCCTATCGTCGGAGAGACCCCCGAGGCCCGGGCCTTGGAGGACGCACGCTTGGCTAATTTGGCCGAGCGCACTCGACTGGAGAATCTCCAGCGAGCACTCGACGAGCAAGCGCGTCAGCGGGCTCCTGAGTCTAGTCGACGCCAGCTCTTCCCGCCGACGCAGGTATACCGAACCCCAATTCAGAATTTGGCCGCCGCGGCCCGTATAGCAGAATCGATTCAGCCCTCCCAGTCGGAGGCTGGAAGGGGCTTGTTACAGATCAGAGCGTTGCTCCGGGCGGCGGGAAACCAGAATTCCACTGTTTCTCAGTCGCGGAATAGGATCCACAGTCGATCCGTTGCGACAGATACAGTCCAGTCGGCTCACAGCCCGCGGTCGCCCCCGAGGCGTGAGGGACGTGGCGACCGGCATGATCAGTACAGAAGGAATGAGCAGTATGATCACCGATCCGATCGTGATGATCGACGTCGAGTGCCAACCCCTCCCCCGAGGAGTGGGTCATATGCGCCTGGACATTGAGATGACAGGCGCCGTCATAGTGTTGGGCAGAGGATTCCCGTCGACCCCAGGGACCCAGGCTTTGACGCGAGATCTGTCCTCGTTCAAGGCTTGTTTGACAGGAACAGGGCTCATCGGGAAGGCCAGAACAGAGATGCGCCCGCCAGCAGCAGAATACGTGTTTCAGGGCCAGAGTGTTTCAGTCGAGCCATCAGGGCCGCGGTGATTCCTCCCAACTTTTGGTTGGCGACTAGAGTCAGCAAGTTCACCGGTGAGTCTAAGCCTGACACTTGGCACGAAGATTACCGAGTGGCTGTACAGATTGGCAGTGGCAATGATGAGGTGGCTATGAAGCATTTGCCTCTCCTGTTAGAGGGCTCGGCCAGAGCATGGCTGAATCAGTTAGCACCCAGTAGCATCTACACTTGGGAGGATCTCTCTCGAGTGTTTGTCACAACCTTTGAGGGAACATGCAAGTGACCCGCAGGTCTTACAGAATTGCGGTCTTGCGTGCAGAAGCCGAGTGAAACTCTGAGGGATTACATCCAGAGGTGGATCACTTTGCATCACACGGTTGAGAACGTACCGGATCACCAAGCAGTTTGTGCCTTTAAAGAAGGCGTCAAGAACAGAGAGTTGAACCCGAAGTTTGGTCGGACCGGAGAAATGTCCCTGAATCGGATGATGGAAATTGCCACCAAATACGCTAACGGAGAAGATGAAGATCGACTCCGGAGTGGCAAGCAGAAAGCAGTCGCCCAGGAAACCGAAGGCAATTCCAGTCGGAAGCAGAAGCGGAAGGCCGAGCCAGCCGCCCCTGGGGAGGCCCTGGCCGCAACCCAGGGAAATTTCAAGGGAAAACCCAAAGGCCCCTGGAAGCCCAAGAAAGTCAAGGATCAAGATGGAAATGATGTTTTGGATCTGCCATGTCACATCCACACCAAGAAAGATGAGGAGGGTAATTTTATTTACCCAAAGCATACCACTCGATAGTGTCGGCTCCTGATCCAGCAGTTTCAGGGCAAATAGTCCAAAGATAAGGAAAAAGAGTCGGACAGAGTTGAGGACAAGGAAGATAGTGACAATGGATACCCCCAAATCAATTCCACCCTGATGATTTTTGTTGATGTCGAAAGCAAAAGTCGACTGAAAGTCATTAACCGTGAGGTGAATATGGTTGCTCCGGCAACACCCAGTTATCTGAAGTGGTCTCAGACTGCCATCACATTTGACCAGTCTGATCACCCTACACACATTGCCACCCCTGGGAGGCAAGCTTTGGTGGTCGACCCAGTTGTCGAAGGCACTCGACTGACCAAAGTCCTGATGGATGGTGGCCGTGGCCTGAACATATTGTATGCTGAAACATTGAAAGGAATGGGCATTCCGATGTCCAGGCTCAGTGCCAGTAACATGAGCTTCCACGGAGTCATTCCTGGAAAGAAAGCCGAATCACTCGGCCAGATTGCTCTCGACGTGGTTTTCGGTGATTCAAAGAATTACCGTAGGGAAAAGTTGACATTTGTGGTTGTGAACTTCCAAAGTGCTTATCATGCTATTCTGGGCCGGCCAGCTTATGCACGCTTCATGGCTCGGCCATGCTACGTGTATCTCAAGTTGAAGATGCCCGGCCCCAGAGGTGTGATCACCGTTACCGGCAATCGGAAGAAAGCAGAAGAGTGTTTTCAGAAAGGATCGAAGATTGCTGACGCTCAGATGGCAGTTGTTGAGCTACAAGAGTACCAGAAGACTGCTGATCCGAGTGAATTGCTACGAGCCAAGAAGCCTGCTTCAGAATCTGCTTTTCAGTCGTCCGGTGAAACTAAGCCGGCTCACATTCACCCGACCGACCCCGACGCTGCTCCGACTCACATCTCAACGACACTCGACTCCAAATAGGAAGAAGCGCTCATCCAGTTCCTCCGTGAGAACTGGGACGTCTTCACATGGAAGCCTTCTGACATGCCTGGAGTTCCCAGGGGGCTGGCTGAGCACCGTCTACGAGTCGACCCGAAGTTCAAGCCTGTGAAAGAACATCTTCAACGGTCCGCCGTCCAGAAGAGGAAAGCTATTGGCGAGGAGGTGGCTCGGCTCTTAGCAGCGGAGTTCATCCGATAGATTTACCACTCCGAGTGGCTCGCCAATGTTGTCATGGTCCCCAAAAAGGACAAGTCACTTCGCATGTGCATTGACTTTAAACACATCAATCGGGCCTGCCCGAAAGATCATTTCCCTTTCCCCCACATCGACCAGGTAGTGGACTCGACCGCAGGGTGTGAGTGTTTGTCTTTTCTAGATGCTTATTCAGGGTACCATCAGATCCGTCTGTATGGACCCGACGAGATCAAAATGGCTTTCATCACCCCATTTGGGTGCTTCTGTTATGTCACCATGCCCTTCGGCCTCAAGAATGCTGGAGCCACGTTCATGAGGATGATTCAGAAGTGTTTACTCACTCAGATCAGTCGGAACGTAGAAGCATACATGGATGATATTGTGGTTAAGTCACGGAAAGGTTCCGACCTACTGACTGACCTTGCCGAAACCTTTGCTAACCTCAGGGGATACGATATCAAGCTCAATCCATCAAAGTGCACATTCGGAGTTCCAGGTGGAAAGTTACTCGGTTTTCTCGTTTCCGAACGAGGAATCGACGCCGATCCCGAGAAAGTTGGCACCATACTCCGGATGAAGCGCCCTGTGCGCGTACACGATATCCAGAAACTTACAGGTTGCTTGGCCGCTCTAAGTCGATTCATTTCTCGTCTCGTGAAAAGGCGTTGCCTCTTTACTGACTGATGAAGAAGTCTGACAAGTTCGAGTGGACTCCAGAAGCTGACGCAGCGTTTGCAGAGATCAAAGCTCTGCTCTCCACCCAGCCGGTGCTTGCTGCCCCAATCAGTAAAGAGCCTCTGCTGCTGTACATTGCGGCCACGGGACAAGCTGTCAGTACAATACTCACGGTCGAGCGGGAAGAAGAAGGAAAGGCCTTCAGAGTTCAGCGCCCAGTATATTATGTGTCTGAAGTTTTGACCCCTTCGAAGCAAAGATATCCCCATTACCAGAAGCTTGTATATGGGATCTACATGACCATGAAGAAGGTTGCACACTACTTCTCCGACCATTCCATTACAGTCGTCAGTGACGCTCCACTGTCAGAGATCTTGCACAACAGAGATGCAACTGGTCGAGTGGCTAAGTGGGCGATTGAACTCCTCCCCCTAGATATCAAGTTTGAAGCAAAGAAGGCTATCAAGTCCCAAGCAATTGCAGATTTCGTCGCCGAGTGGATTGAACAGCAACTCCCGACTC